TGTTGATTTCAAAAGCTTTTTCATTTCTTCTATATTTTCTGATGATCTGTCACCCTATAGAAGTTACATTAATATTTCTTCGGTTGCTTTTTAAGCATTGAGCATGCAGTGGATTATTTTCTTTATAGAAAAAGCTGTCCAATCTGTTGGAGATACTGCTGCAGACATGTTGTTTAGGAATACAGTTTAAAAAAAACAAATACAGTCTTGACTCCCCCCCCCCTCTCCCGCCCCCTTCCGCCTCTCTCCCCCTCCCTCCCTCCCTCTCTCTCTCTCTCTCTCTCTTTATCTCTCTCTCTCTCTCTTTATCTCTCTCTCTCTCTCTCTCTCTCTCTCTCTCTCTCCCCCTTCCCTCCCACTTTCTGCTCTCCCTTCCTTGTTTGACCTTAGTTCAGACAATAAAGTCCTAAGTTAATATACAACCCGCCGAAAGGCGTGAAAAGGGATCTTTACTTTACTTTACTTTACTTACTTACCTAAAATGTTGTACTGATAAAGCTTCATGATTATCGAGAAGTGTTATGTGTTGTGTTGACCATTTCCCTTTCCAGCCCCTTCGTTGCAGACATCTAAAACTCGTCACCCGTAGAGTTAGATATGAATAAATTCTGCACCAACAGTACTTACTTTTAAATAATATTGCAATTTTAAAAACTAACTATTTAAGTATTAATCCAAGTATTCGAAATACTTTCTCGACTTCATTATTGTTTTGATATTCCTGTGTCCTGTAAACAAGAAGAGATGGTGCATTGACAAACATTTATTGTTTTTATTTATATTTGTTTATATTTATTTATATTTACATTTACGTGTCTCAGTGTTGAACATACCATTATTCAATGTTTGCCCCTGTAGTTCTGGAACTCTCTGTTGTAATTGTTGTATCTTTATTGTTTGAGAATATGAACATATTGTTTATCGTTTGTTGTACAGTATTTGATATAAAAGAGTTGTAGATGGGCGGTGCAGCTTCCTGAGTTGTTCAGTTTACAATTATTGAGCCACAGAATTATATCTGAAGCTAGAGTGACACTTTTTACAGTTCATTTTCAGTTGCTAATTTCTGATTAAGAATGGACATCTTTGAGTAGAGGACAAAAATCACAAATGCTCCATCTTCTGCAGCAAATGGTGAATTTTTTCAATGAGCCGTATTCTGAATTTAGTTCTTATTTATAAATTAATGTTTCCAGAAGATTTGCAACCAAGCAAAGCACATTTATTTGTAAACATTTTACTTTCTGGTGGGAAATATCAGAATTTTCTTAGATAGTGCAGTAAAACTAAGCTTTCTTATTTTTATCTGGTGATAAAGGCAACTTCCGGGTTTCAGAACACTTTCTTGTGCTTGTTTAGGATTAATATATAAACTAGCAGTTCACTGTAATTTTGTATTATAAACATTCTTTTTCATTTTTGCCAAAATATGTGTCAAATATGTTAATATTGTATTTTTGTATATGTTTTAACTATAATCATACAACTTTGAGAAAAGCCATAATGTTATTTCAGTCTTATGTTTTCCCATGTAAATTTGGCAGTGGAGTATTGGTTGCAAGCATACTCAGAAAAAATATGACATTAGAGAAATACTTGAAGTAATTATCCACCGTCCCCCACTGTCATTTAACAGATAATTGATATTTGAAGGACTTTACTGTGTAATCTCTTTTCTAGTCGTAACAGTAAAAATAAGCAAGTAACAGCTTGGCTGAACATTGTCATAAAGTATTTCATTTGCTATTTTGTTCTTTCTGTAGCATTGTTTAGGGAAATGTTCTCTTGTCACTTTATTTATGCATTATAGTACCTGATGTTGTTAGACTGTTATAAGTTATTGTAGAAATAGTTAGTAGTATACTTAATGAAGACAAACATCAAGTTTAGAATAAGAGGGAATGAACAAGTGGTTTGGCTTGCTGGCAGGGCCACGCTACATACAGGAACAGTCGGGGTCCAGGCTAGTTTTAGTTGTCTCAAGGAAGCAGGAGGAATAGATGATTCAGGAGATGTAGATGAATCAGACTACACAAGAACTTCATTTTGAAAGAGGTGTTACCAGAGATGAGAATGCTATATAGGTAGCCACAGAAGAATAGTAAACCAACACAGAAGTGGTGTTATCAGTAACCAGACTGTATATTGGTTTGAGCACCTAAGGGTTTGTCCACTGTGCAGTGAGGTGATCATTGAGTTAACTAACTAAAACATTAATCACAGCCAGTCAAGTTAACATTGAAAATCAGTCTTGACAGAGATCTGTGAAGTCAATATAAACAAATATCACTGTAATCTAAATTGACAAATATCTGTGAAATCAACATTAGCAAAAGTTTGTGAAATTACCATCGGCAAAGGTCTGTGAAATCAACATTGACAAAGGTCTGTGAAATCAACATTGACAAATCTCTGTGAAATCAACATTGACAAAGATCTTAAATATCTGTCAGAAAGAAATTATTGATATTTGTACTACTGCTTGAATGTCTTATAAAAATTCTTGTGTTGATAGTTTCAATGTCTGCAGTAATTGATAATTCTATTTAGCTTTGGAATGGAAGCTGTTGTTATCCTGCCTGTTTGCTGCGATATGTCTTTGCATACATTTTATGCTGTATTCTCATTTTGTGCTTTCATGGTGTACGCAGCACAAGTGTGTGTGTGTACATTTTGTGCTTTCATGGTGTACGCAGCACAAGTGTGTTTGTGTGTGTACATTTTGTGCTTTCATGGTGTACATAGCAAAAGTGTGTTTGTGTGCTTACATAAATAAGCACAGCTCTGTGTACACACTCAGATACAAATGCACATATCATCATCATCATCACTCTATTGTGCCATTATGTGTCACATAAGGCTCATAGTCTTTTCATTCATTCCATTATATCATGTGCATATATTTAATTATCATGGATGGAATCCAGTCCAACACCTTTGACCTCTCTCATCATCTTTTATTGTAGGGTTTCTGTGGATGTGCTCATTTCCTCAGTTAGTTTATTTCCAATTTCAGTGTCTGCTAGCATTTTCTCACAGTGTAACCAGTTTAGCATCTCTTCTTTGTCTAAGGATTGTTGAAAGTAGTGATTCTCCAGACATTTCTCTAATTTCTTCTCTTTTATTGAGTTAATCCAATTTAATGTTCATTGTTTTGATCTGGTATTTGCCCAGTATAGCACCATCTTCTTTGTCATTGAAGGTGTCTGTTCTCCCGTGTGGGTTCCGGGGTTCTATTATAGGAAAAACAAGAATAGACCCACTGCCTACACAAAAGCATGTCGTAAGAGTCGACTAATTAGGAGATTCCTTTTGAAGTCAAAGTGTATCCGCGTGAAAGACAGGGAACCAGCAGTCTGGATACAAATGAGTCAAATCTGTAAAATGGATGCACATGCAACACTCAGGTTCTGGAACAGGACTGCAGTCCCGAAGTGGATGAACAACCAAAACTTTTTGCCAGAGTTTACAGCTGGTGAACGCGAAGAAGCGAAGAAGATTTTGTGTTAATAGCAGTGGTTGTTCAGACATGTCTGGTATTTCTTTACCATTCTTGAATTGATCCCATTTGTTGCTTGCTAATTGTTTTCTAAACTAACATCCCTATCACATTGGTCCAACCCATTCATGTTGCATACTTCAGTGCAGCAGTCGGCCCAAGACTACCTAGGTTTATGGTGAACCCAATCTACCTGGGTTTATGGTGAATCCAAACTACCTGGGTTTATGGTGAACCCAATCTACCTGGGTTTATGGTGAATCCAAACTACCTGGGTTTATGGTGAATCCAAACTACCTGGCTTTATGGTGAACCCAATCTACCTGGGTTTATGGTGAATCCAAACTACCTGGGTTTATGGTGAATCCAATCTACCTGGGTTTATGGTGAACCCAATCTACCTGGGTTTATGGTGAAATCCAAACTACCTGGCTTTATGGTGAACCCAGTCTACCTGGGTTTATGGTGAAACCAAACTACCTGGGTTTATGGTGAATCCAAACTACCTGGCTTTATGGTGAACCCAGCATACCTGGATTTATGGTGAACCCAGTCTACCTGTTTTTATGGTGAATCCAAACTACCTGGCTTTATGGTGAACCCAGTCTACCTGTGTTTATGATGGACCCAGTAAACCTGGGTTTATGGTCTACCCACTGTACCTCAGATTATGATGAACCCACTTTGCCTGGGTTTATGATAAACCCTATCTACCTACTTGGGTTTATGATAATCTCTTACCCAGTCTACCCGAGTTTATGGTGAACCCAACCTATATTTATGATGAACCCAATCAACAAGGGTTGATAGTAAACCAAATCAGTGTGTGTTTATGATAAACTCAATCTACCTGGGTTTAAGTTGAACCCATTCAGCAATGGTTGATGGTCAACAGAATCAGCAAGGGTTGATAGTGAACCCAATATATGTGGGTTAGTAAATTTAATTAAATAAATTATGTCAGATTATTATTTTGAATAGGTTGATTTATTTGTCTGGCATGGAGATTAAGTCATACTCTCTCAGGCAAATTGACCTTCTCTGTTGTCTTTCATGTTTGACATCTGATTCACTACCTGCATGAACTTTGTGGTCTCTAAAATACATTATTTTCACCCTTTTCCCCTGCATTCCCATTTTCATCTTTGAATAATAGTTTATTTTTATAAACTTTTATTAATTTAGTTTTGTTTGTTTGTCTGGTACAATTTTTGCATACAGTTTTTTAAATATCCTGCACGCACTTTGTATTTTCTGTTTTTACTGTATAATTTTTGCTTTTTTACATTGTTATTTCTTTTAATTGGCTCTGGGCATGTATATATATGTATATTTTATTTTCCCTCCCACATTAAAAAAAAAAAAAAAATCAGTTGACAATTTTTTTTAAGATAATCAGTTTTGCTTCATGTTTGAAGTAAAGTACATTTATTTAAGTATTTTAGTATACTGCATGCTTACAGCCTTTCTGAGGGTTATCCTGCAATTGTTTGCAATAAAGTATTCATTGTCTGGGCTTTTACACCTTAAATGGACAAGTTTGCTTAGATTTAAGATAAGTAGCTTACTTTGTTACTCATGTCGCTAGGCCTATGTCCTAAACATATTTGCAGCCATGAGAAAAGAAGCTTTCTAGATTGTTATGCAATGTGGGGGATATGACACCTGGTATCATGTGTGTTTTATTGTGTGATTATGTTTTAATTCTCTTAGCTATGCTTGGCCACTCTGTAGCTTGCTGAAGCTGAAGTCTGTAGCTTGCTGAAGCTGAAGAATATTTTCATATTGCAACATGTTTGCAACTTTCTGTCTGTGTGCCAGCTGTTATATCGCCGAGGGTGGAGGGAAGGGAAATTTGTGTCTGTAGTTTTATATCAGTATTTATGAATGCCATTCTGCAAGGTGAATGGAGGCAGGTAGTAGCTGTAGCAGTGAACGTCAAAGGTTCTGAAAACTGAAGAAAAGGAGACAAAGATTTATATTTATGAGTGTCCATGATCTGCCTGTTTGTTTGGATTTTGTTCTGGTTATCATTTTGTTATAGTCCTTGATTTGTAATTGATCTTCTTGAAAGATGTCAAATGACCAAGCCACACATGCAGGCCTTCACACAAACATAAAGCCCTGATGAACTTAATGTTACACCACAACTCTTTAAAACATTTTTTTTTTAACTTATAAGTATTATTTTCATTGCTGATAATTTTACTTGCATGAGCTTTTTTTTTTTTTTTTTTTTTTTATGTAATAAATTTTTTATTGCATGTCTTCTTCATTATGTGCTGCATACTACATGAACTGGTACCTCCTGTAGACTGCATAGTTGTCTGACTACATTATCTGACAGTAATAACATAACTTTATGTCTTTAGCTCAGTAACCACTTCAGTGAACAACAGACTGACATGATTTTGTGGCATATTTTTCACATTTATCAGCTGTTGGTCTGTGTGTAGTTTCTGCTGTAATTTGGCAATTTTTTTTCACAGTTGTTACTGGTTTCACAAATTTGAGGCTGGCTTCTAATTATTGTTTCAATTATTCAGGTGATATTAAGTTTGCCACTGTCATTGGCTTGCAACAGGTTATCAGTTAAAACAGTGTTTCAGAGTTTTGTTTAATGAAGTTAAAAAAGTTATGTTACTTTCTGATGAAAACAATAATTTTGCCTCCATGATTAATATTGATTTTCTTTAATAAACATACAAAAACTTAACGATTTTAATTTCATCAGCAACATGCATTTTGGGTTGATTTTTTTTCTTTATTGTAATAAGGTCTTTGGTTGTTCTCTTATTAACTCTCTGGGTACCAAAGAACACATTGATAACTAGTTTAACTGTCCTCTGGTACTGGAAGAATTAATATAACTTAGAATTGAAAATTGTCTGTTAATTTTATCTGACACCTAACACAGTTTGCTTTTTTTTGTGTGTGATGTGATCCGTAATAAATCTGTCTGTTTTCTTGACAGGATTAGTTGCTCCTGAGAATTATTGTTATATTATACATTATTGTCTTTCTAAAATTAAAAAAAATGAAAATAAAAAGCCCGGCTCAGTGCCAAAATACATAACCTTCTGATCAACAGGTAAGCCTCTGACAGTTACACCATAGTGGCACCCTTTGGTCCCAGCAGGGATGTATTATTATTATTGTTCCCTGGTTAGCAAAGAACTTGGAGGCAAAGCAGATGTGATTCCTCAGACGGATTTTAAGAATCTTTTAGACTGCTAGAGTCATTATCAAGGATTGTTGGAAAGAAGCTGATGGAAAGACAAGCACTGTTCTTTGGTCACGGGGGGCGGGGGGTTGGGGGGGGGGGGCCTTTGAAACAAATATACTGACAACTGGGAAGATGAACAGCAAAAGTAGGAGAGGCAGACTGAGAGAGATGATGACGGGTGGATTGCAGCGGTGGTGCAGAGGGATATCGTCGGTGGAACTGATCCATAGCTCAAGTGACCAAGATCTGTGCAGATGCATGAACGCCTGTGCCTACACCAAACAAATTGTGAACAGAGGCAGTAATTTCAGGGGACCTGAAATGTGTCTGCATGAAATTGTTATGGTGTTATTTTAATTAGTATTTGACCTGCACAATAAACCTTTGCAACACTTGTTCTCGAACAGCCCGTAGGAAATTATTAACATATTAGTTTTGGTTTATGACAACGCTGACCACACAGATGACGACGCTGACTCGCTGGAGGTCAGTGCAGACACTGCCCATGGCCACCACGTCAGCCATCGGATGCCTCATGTGGAGATGGTTCCACCGGCTGTCTCTGAGGAGGAGAAGAAAGAAGAGGAAAAACAAAAAGGTAAGTTTAGAAGGATGAAAGGATAAAGGATGATTAGTTGATGCATTGATGGTGGCAGTTGTGATGATAGTGATGTTATCATCATCATAAACCACATCTGTGGTTAAGCATCGCGGGGAGGAATAATTTGTGATCCAGCGCATGCTGGCTGGCACTGACCATTGTCTTGGTTGTATTACCTTGGAGGTATTTCATCGTTGCATTCTAACAAGATGACCAGACGACTTGATCTGCTGTTTCTCAAACGATCTTAGCACAAGTTGTCATTCCCACAATCTGTTTGATAGTATCGTTATTCACTGGACCTCAGATTATCAGTTTGGCGGCTTTTATCAGGTATCTCTTCTCCCAAGTAATGATTTTACATGCATAAGCCTTAGATAATGTCCATGTTTGGCACTGGTAGCTCAGTGTTGAATGAATATGCTGTTTACAATCTGTTTCTTTGCACTCATAGTTATGTTTAAATGTCTTAATAACGGTGACAAATGGTTTATAAATACACTAGCTTTCTGACATCTGGTTTCTATTTCTCTGTCAGTTCCACCATCTTCCATGATCACATTTCCTATACATTTAAATTCCTTAACTTGTTTCAGGCCAGACACATTCAGCTGTATGTGTAGTAGGCCAGGGGTTCTACTGAACTGTTTTTGTTTTGTTTGCATTATCTTCATACCTCTGATGATGTGGGAAAAAATAACTAAAATCATACTTGACTCAAAAGAGACATTTATATGATTAACAAATGCATTAAATGAATGAATGAATTTAAATACATTGAATTAATGAATTTTAATGCATTGAATGGGTGAATTTAAGTGCATTGAATTGATAAATTTAAATGGAATAAATGAATGAATGAGTTTAAATTAATTGGATAGATGAATTAAAATGCATTGAATAAAGGAAGGAAGAGCTGACATCACTGACATTCCTACGCATGCCATCACTGACATTACTACGCATGCCCGGACCCTTTCTTTATTGACCAGTGAAGAGTTTCTACTGAAGGTGATGAAAAGTATGCTCGACATTCCCCCCATTAAAATGTATTGGACTGAGACACAGACTTCCCCACACCTGTTCGTGGGCCTCACTGTTGGACCACTAGCTCCCCACACCTGTTCGTGGGCCTCACTGTTGGACCACTAGCTCCCCACACCTGTTCGTGGGCCTCACTGTTGGACCACTAGCTCCCCACACCTGTTCCTGGGCCTCACTGTTGGACCACTAGCTCCCCACACCTGTTCGTGGGCCTTACTGTTGGACCACTAGCTCCCCACACCTGTTCGTGGGCCTCACTGTTGGACCACTAGCTCCCCACACCTGTTCGTGGGCCTCACTGTTGGACCACTAGCTCCCCACACCTGTTCCTGGGCCTCACTGTTGGACCACTAGCTCCCCACACCTGTTCCTGGGCCTTACTGTTGGACCACTAGCTCCCCACACCTGTTCCTGGGCCTCACTGTTGGACCACTAGCTCCCCACACCTGTTCCTGGGCCTTACTGTTGGACCACTAGCTCCCCACACCTGTTCGTGGGCCTTACTGTTGGACCACTAGCTCCCCACACCTGTTCGTGGGCCTCACTGTTGGACCACTAGCTCCCCACACCTGTTCCTGGGCCTCACTGTTGGACCACTAGCTCCCCACACCTGTTCTTGGGCCTTACTGTTGGGCCCCTGGCTCCCCACACCTATTCCTGGGACTCACTGTTGGGCCCCTGGCTCCCCCACCTGTTTCCCCCACCCTCACTGTTTGGGCCCCTGGCTCCCCACACCTGTTCCTGGGCCTCACTGTTGGACCACTAGCTCCCCACACCTGTTCCTGGGACTCACTGTTGGGCCCCCTTACCTGTCCTGGGCCTCAATGTTAGCTGGCTCCCCACACCTGTTCCTGGGCCTCACTGTTTGGACCACTAGCTGGGCCCCTGGCTCCCCACACCTGTTCCTGGGCCTCACTGTTGGACCACTAGCTCCCCACACCTGTTCCTGGGCCTCACTGTTGGACCCCTGGCTCCCCACACCTGTTCCTGGGCCTCACTGTTGGGCCCCTGGCTCCCCACACCTGTTCCTGGGACTCACTGTTGGGCCCCTGGCTCCCCACACCTGTTCCTGGGCCTCACTGTTGGGCCCCTGGCTCCCCACACCTATTCCTGGGACTCACTGTTGGGCCCCTGGCTCCCCACACCTGTTCCTGGGCCTCACTGTTGGGCCCCTGGCTCCCCACACCTGTTCCTGGGACTCACTGTTGGGCCCCTGGCTCCCCACACCTGTTCCTGGGCCTCACTGTTGGGCCCCTGGCTCCCCACACCTGTTCCTGGGCCTCACTGTTGGGCCCCTGGCTCCCCACACCTGTTCCTGGGCCTCACTGTTGGGCCCCTGGCTCCCCACACCTGTTCCTGGGCCTCACTGTTGGGCCCCTGGCTCCCCACACCTGTTCCTGGGCCTCACTGTTGGGCCCCTGGCTCCCCACACCTTTTCCTGGGCCTCACAGTTGGTCAAACAGGAATAGACCCACTGCCTCTCCAACAAGCATGTACGTAAGAGTCGACTAAGTGGGGGCTTCCTTTGAGTGCATCTTCGTGAGAGGCAAGGAACCAAGAGTATACAAATAAGCCAGATCTGGAAAACGGATGAGCTGCACCACTCAGGATCTGTAAGAGGACTAAAGTCCAGAGGTGGACGAACACCCAGAACTTTCGGCCAATGAACGCGAAGAAGAAGAAGAGACACAGAAAAGGATCTTGTTTCCAAATGACCAACTGTATTCTCATTAACTAAGGTCGCTACAAACAAACAAACAAAAAACAGCCTGGCTACCCAGCCAGTATCCTCTGTATACAGAATACAAGTAACCTTCTTCTTAGCATTCACCAGCAGTCAATTCCAGCATAGATAATAATAGGTTTCTACCCCACCAAGACATCACACAAGCGATAAACACCCGATGACACAAAGTGCCACCATGTGGAGGAGGATCACCGTGGAGAGGTCCCATAAACCGCGTTCAGCCATTAGACCATTTAAATGGTCGGGCTATATTGCGGTTCCTGGCAAGAGCCAGAGTAGGGCTTCAAATAACGAAAAATTGCATTTCACAAGGAGATGACTGGATTAAATTCCGGCAAAAAGTTTTGGTTGCTCATCCACTTCTAGACTTTAGTCTTGTTCCAGAACTTGAATTTTGCATGCACATCCGTTTTACACATGCGACTTATTTGTATGCTCACTGTTGGTTTCTTGCCTCTCGGCCAGATGCACTCTGACCTTGAAGGCAGTGCAAGTAAAAAAAGGAAAAGACTTTTAAAAAAATGCTGTGAGATGATTAGTGGAGTGTGTTAGCTCCATATCTTGAGACCAATCAGTACTCAGTGGGTGAGCTTCCCTGATTTAATCAGGACTAAATGGTTGGGTGACCAGATTTGTTACCAGCTTGTGCACAGGAATTGTGGATCACATGAAATGACAAAACCTGGGACAAACCCACAGCCAAAGAAAACTATACCTCATTATTTTACATTTACAAGTGTGTTTCCCCATTATATTGCTGGGTTTTGCTGTAGTAAAGTTAAGGGCTGTTTTTCTACGCCTCAAGGCATGTTGGGCATGTAGGGCTAGACCTACATTTTATAGACCAACAATCGGCACAAGGTTGGAGATGTGGTTAACATCACACCAGCCACATTTACTTCCCAAGACTTTACCTGGCACCCATTCAAGGCTGGGTCGACCAACATTCTGAAAAAAGTCCGGCGGGTCTTGATATGCCCATACAAAAAAAAATTTCGAGTGCTCTCTCATTCTTCTTTTTACCATTCTCTTTTTCCCTTTCCCTTTTCTTCTGCACGTTTCAAGTATGTAAGTGTTTGAAAGAGATTGATGTAGCTGGTAATATGTCTTTATTGTTTCAGCAAGATACCAACCTACCCTACATGTTGTATTTTTTATATTACCACATCTTTTTGCAGCTTTTCATCCATTTTCTGTTGATTGTTTCTTTCTCTGTTTTCTGTCTCGGAATCTAGGGTCTTTACTTTGCATTTGCATATTATACATCTCATCTTAGTGTATGACATTGTACATCTTAATGTATGACATTGTACATCTTAGTGTATGACATTGTACATCTTAGTGTATGACATTGTACATCTTAGTGTATGACATTGTACATCTTAGTGTATGACATTGTACATCTTAATGTATGACATTGTACATCTTAATGTATGACATTGTACATCTTAGTGTATGACATTGTACATCTTAGTGTATGACATTGTACATCTTAATGTATGACATTGTACATCTTAATGTATGACATTGTACATCTTAGTGTATGACATTGTACATCTTAATGTATGACATTGTGCATTTTAGTATATGACTGCATAATATACACACAAAAAAATTTTTCAACATCTCTTCAAAGTTCGAGAATTAAGTGAAGAAGAAAAGAAGCAGATTATGATGTCAGAGGATTACCAACTCAGCATAGGTCGGGCTGCCCGTGTTATTCAGCGCATGTTGGCTATGAATGATTCTGGGTTAACCATCGACTACAGCGGCACTGATAGTGAAGGAAAAGAAGAGTAAGTATTATTCAGTCTTTGTGCTTCAGAAGATGAAAAGTATTTTATGTAATAAACCACTCTCATTGAACATCAGAAAACGAGTATTGAAATGTTATATCAATCCTGTTGAATAGTAGTGAATCTTGGAATTTGAACAAACAAATAAGGAAGAGTTTGGAGGCAACTGAGATTTGGTTCTTGAAAATAATGTAAAGAATACCTTGGACTGCCAGAATAATTAACATTGAATGCCTGGAAATGGCTGATGAAAGTAGAACATTTTATACAACAATAAAAAGACAAAGTTCTTTGGTCATGTAATGAGAAAAGAAGCACTGGAAAATATTGTGAGGACTGGAAAGATCCCTGGTAGAAGAGGCAGAGGCAGACTGAGAGAAATGATGGTGGATGGCTTAATACAGGGGTATGGAGGAATATCATCAGTAGAATTGATCCAGAACACCAAAGACCAAGATCTGTGGTGAAACATGAAGGCCTACGCCAGCTGGCAAGGCACCTAAGGATGATGATTAATTTTATTAAGTTATTTAAACAATGTTTACTGAAGCATTGGCAGCATAGTGGTTAGTGCACTTGATGATGATGCTTCATGTAATTAATTTACTTTAACAATGTTTTATCCGAGCACTGGTAGCATAGTGGTTAGTGCACTTACCTACTGAGGCAGTAGATTTAGTTCAATCCCTAGATTTGGCAAGATTGCTTTGTGCAGAGTGGCAAGCATCGCTTCAGAGGTGCTGGGTAGTTAGGTTCCTTTGGATATTTTCTTCAGGCATGCCGGCGAGTTGGGAAATGAACAGGAAGCTAGATTGGCTGCAAATTGATTGGTGGTAAATTGATACATGACAGATTAGATGTTGTAAGGGCCGTTTGAGAGTCAGTAAAAAGATTGTACAACTCATTTCCAGGCATATTTTGCCGTATCTCATCAGGCGCATACTACAGTAACAGTTACATAAAATAAAGCACATAAATAAATCAATTATGACTAAAGTACACATTAAGACACTCTCAAAAGCAAAAGCCGGATTTACCAGGGCAATTGCAGTGTCACTTTCATGTCTTTTTGTTCACAAAGTTCTGGATGGAGATAATGAATAGAGGCAGCTTCAAGAAATCCAACTGCTCTGCAATTAGAGGATGTATGAAGAAAATCAAAATGCGCCGTAAAAATATTTTTTACTTTTTACTGGTTGTACATTTAAGGGACTTTTGCTTGTTGAAGAATATTAGTTAAATATTCTATTAGTAATTTTTTTATTATGACAAATTTTAGTGAATAGATAATGCTTCTTCTTTACTTTTTTTCTCTGTGCTTATTGTTCTTAGCTTCCTTCTCATTTTACATTTATTGGGTATAATGTTTCTGTTCATTCCGTTGCAGCGAGACTTTAGCAGGAGAAAGATTGAAACTACAGCAGGACTTCTTTGATGAGAGGTGGTCCAAGCGTAGAACAATCACCAGCATGGACTGGTCACCAACGGTAAACTATCAGACTCTGTTAAACAAACAGTAATTACACTGGTCACCAATGGTAAACTATCAGACTGTTAAACAAACAGTAATTACACTGGTCACCAATGGTAAACTATCAGACTCTGTTAAACAGTAATTACACAGGTCACCATCGGTAAACTATCAGACTCTGTTTAAACAAACAGTAATTACACAGGTCACCATCGGTAAACTATCAGACTCTGTTAAACAAACAGTAATTACACAGGTCACCATCGGTAAACTATCAGACTCTGTTAAACAAACAGTAATTACACAGGTCACCAACGGTAAACTATCAGACTCTGTTAAACAAACAGTAATTACACAGGTCACCAATGGTAAACTATCAGACTCTGTTAAACAAACAGTAATTACACAGGTCACTAATGGTAAACTATCAGACTCTGTTAAACAAACAGTAATTACACAGGTCACCAACAGTAAACTATCAGACTCTGTTAAACAAACAGTAATTACACTGGTCACCAATGGTAAACTATCAGATTCCGTTATTAAACGAACAATAATTACACTGGTCACAAACGTTAAACTGTCACATTCAGTTAAACAAACAATAATTACACTGGTCACAAATGTTAAACTGTCACGTTAACAGTTAAACAAACAATAATTACACTGGTCACAAATGTTAAACTGTCACGTTAACAGTTAAACAAACAATAATTACACTGGTCACAAATGTTAAACTGTCACATACAGTTAAACAAACAATAATTACACTGGTCAACAACCAACATGTACCAGAAATGAAAATAGCTGATCTAAACTAGTTTTTGCTATGCTGAATGAAAGCAAAAATAATATTGAACAAATTTTGACTGGCTGTAGTTTTTAAGATATATGCTACTAGTTATTTTGATAATTATGTCAGTTTTTATATGTAATGCAACTGTTATGGGCAGATGCGTAATGTTTTTTTAACGACTAGTAAAAATGTAGTTCTTCTTTTACTTTTGTTCGCTTGAAATAGATTATCTTTATCTGCAGTGCTGTTTCTAGTATAAACTTCACTGTCTTTTGTAACTCACTCAGTGACCCATAAAGTTTGACTTGCACCGATGTTTCTCTTAATCACAAGTTTTGCCTTGATATGTTGTACTTGGGACAGTCTTGGGGGACATGATCTGTTGTCTCAGGTGCTAATTCACATGTACACATGGCTGATTCGTGGATTTTAAATTGTGTATACATTTTGCTGCAAAGTCTATTGTTTTCTGTTCTAAGGCATAAAATCATAACTTGCTCTGGTCCATTCATAAGATGATAATTATCTTGTGCCAGTTTTGGTGGCTTTCTGGCTGATTTGTTTTTTCTCATTTTCTGTTGATAAGAGACTGTTATGTCAGGTTGTTCTTCATTTGCACCTTCCTTAGCTAGTTGATCAGCTCTTTCATTCCCGCGAACTCCACATTGCATAGTTACCTTACAGTGGTTGCCTAGTGTTGAGATTAGTTTCCGTATACCATGTAATTTTCCAGATTGGATTGCCTTAAGTACTTACTGCTCTTGCATCTGTCAGGAATACCACGGGTTATGAAATATGACATATATTTAGCAGTTTCTGTGCTGCTTTTTTATGGCTTAAATATCTGCATCATAGTTGTGACAGCGCTTTCTTGTAGGTAAAAATGAAGTGGATTATATGTTAACCTGTTATGATCATTGTCAAATAAGAATGGGGCAAATTGTTTATTTGTATAGAATTTGTCATAATCATTATGGATTTTATGTTGTTAAATCTTTCGCTACCAGACAGTGCGCCCTACGTTAATTTGCCATGGCAAAGATAATAAAATGTTTCAGCTGTGTTCTGTCACATACAGTTGTTATATTAACCCTTTTTATCTGAATTATTAGTCTAGCTAGTCATAGAATCTTTGTTGAACCCCCTCAGACTTAAGTATTTGCTGCTTTTAAGTGTAATTTTTAACTCTTAACTTTTACATGTAACTTTTAAGTGTAAGATTGGACTATCTCCCAGTCCTTAAGGATGAAAATAGAGGCCTTTGAGCTGAAATGCTATAGAAAGATTCTAAAAATACTATGGACAAAGAAAAAAAAAAGTACTGACATTCTAACAGATCTGAACATCAAGGAAGATTGGCTAATAAACTGCATCTTGTCTCAAAAGCTGAAATATTTTGGCCTATCAAGTTTCACAGAAGATTGGAAACAAATAATAGCAGAAGGCGTGGTACCAGGAAGGAGGGGCAGGGGTCAACCCACATGAACATGGACACAGGATATAGTTACTCTTGAATATGAGGCAGGAGAGCTGGTGAGAGACTGAGTTTATTTCAGGAAGACCATAATGAGAGTGACGTTCTTTTAGGGACCTGCTACATGATGATGATGATGATCCAGATTATTATTTTAACCTCTTCTGTTCTTATAGTATTTTTGCTGAACCCTCTCAGTATTTACTGCTTCTAAGCATAACCCTTTGGAATAGAAGGAGTTAAAGTAACAACTTCTTGGGCCTCAGAGAGTTAAGGCACTTATTGGTGATGATGATAATAATAATGATGATGATGATGATTATGTTTCAGTACCCAGAACTGCTGCTGGCCTCATACAATGCCAACGAGGATGCCCCTAACGATCCAGATGGAGTTGCTCTCATCTGGAACTTGAAGTTCAAGAACATGGCACCAGAATATGTATTTCACTGCCAGGTAGGTAGACTTCAGATGCTCGCCTGTAGATCCGAAGGTTGTGGGTTCAGCTCCTGATGGAGCTGGACTTTTGTCCTTAAATGGGTAGCAGATAAAGTCCTGGGAAGTAAAGGCGTCTGGTTTAATGTTAACCACACAACATACAGAGTGCCGATTGGTCTATAAAATATAGGTCAGGACCTGTATGACCAGGATGCCTGGAGGCGGGGAAAGAGGTCCATTAAGTCGACTTTCTTCTGCTTCTTTGCATTTTCTGGCTGTAAACACCCGCAGAAAGTTCTGGTTGTTCATCCACATTTGGACTTTAGTCTTGTTTCAGAATTTTCGATTTGTGTACGCATCCATTTTACAGATCTCAGTTAATTACACTGTTAGTTCCTCATCTTTCCGGTAGATGCACACTGTTAGTTCCTCATCTTTCAGCTAGATGCATACTGTTAGTTCCGCATCTTTTAGGTAGATGCACACTGTTAGTTCCTTGTCTTTTAGGTAGATGCACACTGTTAGTTCCTCGTCTGTCAGGTAGATGCACACTGTTAGTTCCTTGTCTTTTAGGTAGATGCACACTGTTAGTTCCTCGTCTTTCAGGTAGATGCACACTGTTAGTTCCTCATCTTTCAGGTAGATGCACACTGTTAGTTCCTTGTCTTTTAGGTAGATGCACACTGTTAGTTCCTCGTCTTTTAGGTAGATGCACACTGTTAGTTCCTCGTCTGTCAGGTAGATGCACACTGTTAGTTCCTCGTCTTTCAAGTAGATGCACACTGTTAGTTCCTCGTCTTTTAGGTAGATGTACACTGTTAGTTCCTTGTCTTTCAGGTAGATGCACACTGTTAGTTCCTCGTCTTTTAGGTAGATGTACACTGTTAGTTCCTTGTCTTTCAGGTAGATGCACACTGTTAGTTCCTCGTCTTTTAGGTAGATGCACACCTACTTTGAAAAGAACACCCTTGATTAGTCAACTTTAAAGACAGGCTTGCTTTGGGGAGCAGTGAGTTATTCTTTTTTCTCCCGCACGGGTCCTTGGAACCCACACTGAGGCCCCAGATACCACACTGAGGCCCCAGATACCACACTGAGGCCCCAGATACCACACTGAGGGCCCGGAACCTACATTGGAAAGGTAGACTTTGAGCGATGTAACTTTTTTATAAAATGAACATGTCCTGCAAAAAATCCATGTATTTAGAGGTTAGAAAAAGACTTTTTGCATGCTATATGGAGCCAGTTTTAATACATGGCTGTGAATCCTGGACAATTTGCAAACAATTTCTTGATGCAGTTTTACAGAAAAATCGGTAAAATTCCCTGGACAGCAAAAAGAGCAGCTAAGATGTTTTGAAAGAGGCTGGGGCCTGAAGAAACCTCACCACAAGCATCAGAAAGAGACAATCATCATTTTTAAAAATCATATTATGATAAGAAGGAAACTGGAACATGTTGTGACCACTGGAAAAGTCTGTGGAAAAAGTGACAGAAGAAGACAAAGTGAGAAGATTCTAGACAGCGTTTTGTGGTGGCATGGAGTGATACATGCTGGTGAAAATCACAGGTTGGGGAGGGGCATGATCGCCCACCAAGGTTGACAAGGCACTTAATGATGATGATGATGTGAGATAAAAGACAACCAGTAAGGGTTAATTGAAATTGTGTCTGTTATTTGTTGAGGAGAAAGGTACAGATATCACAACCTAGCTGTAAACCACAATATAATGTGCCTGCCACCCTTTTCAGGATAAATAAATATTTAAAAAAAAAGAACTGACTGTGGGTGTGTTTGCAGTTTGCTGATTTTTTGACTGGAAATTAGAGATATTTATCAAAAAATCGCTTTGCCAGTTTGGGAATCTCAGTCATTTGAAGCCATTTGAAGACAGTCTAAGTGTTATCACCAATATAGAAGTGGAGCAGTGGAAGGCCAGTACTGCTCTATAAGGATGTGTGCTGAAAAATATCAGCATTAACAGACACTTGGAAGAGATTAGCTGCACACCAACTCCTTTGGAGGCAGACAGTGGAAGACGGTCTGTCGCAGTGTGAAAGAAACCAAAATGAATTAAGCTGTTGGGATTAGACGTCTGAGAGAAAACCAGCCCCAGAATGATAGCCTGTTAATGTTTTTATATGGCAGAGACTACCACTCTTGCATTGGTTTTAACAGTCACAGCAGTCGCTGTTCCCAAACCAACGATACAAATCCGTGGTTGCTAGGGACTTATGGTTGCCTGCAGATCAGAAGTGGGGGCAGTACATGATTCAAGAAGTACTTATTTCATGTGATTGTTGACCTTGTGTTTCAGTCTGCTGTCATGTCCACCTGCTTCGCCCAGTTCCACCCCAACCTAATCATCGGCGGCACGTATTCAGGCCGGATTGTACTGTGGGATAACCGAGTCAATAAACGTACACCAGTTCAACGTACTCCACTTTCTGCTACCTCCCATACAGTAAGTTATTTTTTTTTTTTTTTTTTAAACCTTTGCCTGTTTTTATGTATAATTCAATTTTGAACCTGAAGTTAAAATTATATAGTTAATCTTCTTCTTCTTTTTCTTTGCGTTCACAGCTGAAAGTTGCAGCGGAATGTTCTTGCTGTTCACCTACTTCTGGACTTAAAGTCTCATTCCTGTACTTGAGTTATATGTGTACATCTGTTTTACAGGTCTAGCTTATGTGTATGCAGAATGTTAGTCCCTCAGCTCTCAGGCAGATGCACTCTGACTTCAAAAGTAATGCCTCTAATGTTGCATTTTATGACATACTTTGGAGGGGGTGGGGGTTGTTGGTTGGTTATTCCCCCCCCCCCCCCCACCCCACCACCACCCCAAATGGGGCCCCAGAACCCACACAGAAAACCTGTGAATTTATTTCTATTGCCAGTTCAGTTGTCTCTGAATATTTTCACAATTGAATTTCTGTGTTCAATTAAGAAAATTTATAAGAAACAAGTCAAAATTGCAAAATCAAAGATGTACCGAAGTAGATAATGGAACAATTGTGTGGAAGTAAACGCAGCTATTTGTACTGGGGATTGCACCCAGGGTCACTTTGTTGGCAGCTGAGTGCTCTACCATGACTCCAGATATCTAAATATGTTGAAATGTAATACATATTTAAAACCTGAGTGACACATTAATTAAGTAAATGGTCTGTATAATCTTGCGATTCAAGGTCAGTTCCACTTCCCTACACCACTGATGTGTTAACCATTAACAGTTTCCTTTGCTAGTCTCATGAAATGTTTCACACTCAAGAACTGCCTCATCCGTCTCATAGGCACCAGTTCCCCTAGGTTACTTACATTCTGACACAGTTGTATCTAATATCTTTGAGTTATGACCCTTGTGGTCATGACTTTTTCTAGCCAGTATCGATTCTCATCAGCTCATGTGTCAAGCATTCTGCCTGTCTGATAGCAATGTAATTTCTTTTGGAGATAAGTCAGTGACATTTTTTTGTGTGGTGTATTCTTATTTGTACTTGTAGTGTTGTAGATTTAAGTAATGTGCGGATGAAGGTTCTTTGGCTGTATGGTTCACTTGTTGTTTGTGTATGTGATATTGTGAAGTTGACTGGTTTTTGCTTTTGTCATTTGTTTTGGCATCTGTTTGTGAAGTGTTTGTGCCTGACTTCTCCAGCACCCGGTCTACTGTGTGAACGTGGTGGGGACACAGAATGCCCACAACCTGATCAGCGTGTCTACGGATGGCAAGATGTGCTCCTGGAGCCTGGACATGCTCTCACAGCCTCAGGTTTGTCTTGTCTTCACCTTGTTGATGGCATGGGGTCTGGGTGGGTGGTGTCCACAAGTATAGGACAATTTTAGAGGCCTTCAGGCACATAGGGCTAGAACTTTATTTTATAGACCAGTCGGTGCTTGGTGGCCGATGGGGCCAGCATCACGCCTGGCCGCCTTTGTTTCCCATAATCTTCAGCGGGTACCCATTCAAGGTTGGGTCCACCTGGGAGCCAAGGTCATTTTTTTTTTAAATAAAAACATTTGGAACCCACAGGTGACCGGCTAGCCACTACATGTCAAGCTGCTGATGTCAGCCCTCATGGCCCTATTTGGAGAAAGCGTTGGCTGAGTTATAGTGTTTCAGATAAGTGTACAAATCTGCAAAGTGTAACAATGCTTGGCTGTGCAAAAAACAAACTGTTACTGGAAGAGCCACCAGTTCACATTCAAGTGATGACACACTGGAGACAGAGAGAAAAATAGTATGTACACTTAACGAGGAAAGGTTCCATTCAACAACAAAATGCCCTTACTGTCTGTATTTACCACTTTCACGGTTTAGCTGCTGAGGGAGTGGGGGGTCTTTGAACCTGAGGATTTTGAGTCGCATTGCTAGTACTGAATTCATAATCTGTTGAAATCACCACTGATCACTGGCATCATGAGAGCTAATAGATTGAAATTGCTTGGGGCTTGGAGAATGTCAGATGACAGAGAAGTAAAAGCTGTATACATAAGAGAGATGAATGGTCGTAGACCAGGAGAAAGACTGAAAAGACGAGGAAGAGATAATGTCTAGGCAAACACTTGGTGTCACAAACTGGAAAGAGAAGGCCAACCAGAGAGATGAATGGAGGCGGGCGATATTTGCATCAGTGAACCTCATAGGCTCAGAATGCTGAAAAAGAAGAAGAAGAATGTGTAACCTTTAAGCCCTAGACAGCGTACAGTTCTCATGGTGCATTCTGTATGTTTGCAGGACAGCATGGAGCTGCAGTCCAAGCAGAACAAACCTGTCGCTGCCACCTGCTTCAGCTTCCTCTCAGGTGATGCCAACAACTTCATTGTGGGTTCAGAGGAGTGCACAGTGTACTCAGCTTGCAGGCATGGCAGGTAGGTTCGGTTCCTTCCCTGTTTGTAATACTTGTATCAGTTTATTTGGTCCAGGTTTGGGTGTCTGCCATCTTGGCATTTTTCCTATACCCCCATGGCATTTATTGGGTATTTTTTTAGCTAAGATTTATTGATCTTCTTCTTGCTTTAATTATTGTTGTCCCTAGTGTTACATCAGATCAAGCAGAGCTAATACTAGAGACCAACAAGAATCAGAAGTGTTACATCAGATCAAGCAGAGCTAATACTAGAGACCAACAAGAATCAGAAGTGTTACATCAGATCAAGCAGAGGTAATACTAGAGACCAACAAGAATCAGTAGTGTTACATCAGATCAAGCAGAGGTAATACTAGAGACCAACAAGAATCAGTAGTGTTACAATAGATCAAGCAGAGGTAATACTAGAGACCAACAAGAATTAGTAGTGTTACATCAGATCAAGCAGAGGTAATACTAGAGACCAACAAGAATTAGTAGTGTTACATCAGATCAAGCAGAGGTAATACTAGAGACCAACAAGAATCAGTAGTGTTACAATAGATCAAGCAGAGGTAATACTAGAGACCAACAAGAATTAGTAGTGTTACAATAGATCAAGCAGAGGTAATACTAGAGACCAACAAGAATCAGTAGTGTTACATCAGATCAAGCAGAGCTAATACTAGAGACTAACAAAGATCAGTAAGTGTTACACTCAGATTAAGCAGAGGTAATTTAGGCAGAAATCAGAAGTGTTATCAGTCAAGCAGAGGTAATACTAGAGACAAACAGAGTAATTGTTACAATAGATCAAGCAGAGGTAATATCAGAGACCTGACATAAATCATTGAACTACATCATTCAAGTAGAGGTTTATACAGCCAAATCTGTAATGTAGTGTTACATCAGAAATGTTATTTAATACTTTTATCAACAATGAATCAGTAGTGAAAGATTGGAGAGCTAATACTAGAGACATGGAATCAGTAAAGTTAAATAGATTTGCAGAGCTAATATTGAACCACAAAATCAGTATGTTAAGTCAGAAAGCAGAGGTAATACTAGAGACCAAAAGAATGTAAGTTACAATAGTCTGAGCAATACTAGAGACCAACAAGAATCAGTAGTCATTAGACAGATCAAGCAGAAGCTAATACTAGAGACCAACAAGAATCAGTAGTGTTACATCAGATGAGCAGAGCTAGTACGACCAACATCAGTAAAGATCAGTTTACTTATTTAGCATTTAGTCAAGGAGATACAAACAGAGAATTGTAACAGGCATTGGCAGGGTATCAGCAGCCTGACATAAATATTGAACTCTACATTGTATAGTTTTATACAGCCAAGTTTAATTTTTTCAATTGAAATGTTATTTCAGTTTTAATGCTAGTGAAAGTTGGAGATCCACTAAAGACATGGAATGAAAGTTAAATGGATTTGAAAACAAATATTGAACATAAAATAGGATGAAGTGAAAAGAGGGTGGGTAAAGAATGAAGAGACATGTCTGGGCAACCGCTGGTAACAACAGTCATAAGACAGAGAGGAAGCCTATACTGCAGTTCTGTGAAGAAATACCCTGTAGTCGCCACAATGAAGTGTGGGACCTGCATTTATGTGTGTGCTGTCCCAGGTGCTGTGATGTTGATGCCTACCCTGCATTTTTTGTGTGTGCTACCCTGCAATTAAGGTTTGTGTGTGCTTCTTCTGTAGTCGTGTGTGTGGCTACCCTGCAGTCTGTGTGTACCCACACCCTGCTGTCTTGTATGTACTTTCAGTCAACTGTGCCTCTCCTTCCATCCAACTTTCTCACTGACACTATGCACTCCAGTTTTCTCCTTCTCATCACATGACCAAAAAATGTGTTTATGTGAATAACACATCCTACTGTAGTCGTGTGTGTACTACCCTGTAGTCGTGTGTGTACTACCCTGTAGTCGTGTGTGTACTACCCTGTAGTCGTGTGTGTACTACCCTGCAGTCATGTGTGTACTACCCTGCAGTCGTGTGTGTGCTACCCTGCAGTCATGTGTGTACTGCCCTGTAGTTGTGTGTGTAAATCCTGTATGACGTGTGTGTACTACTGTAGGCACGTTTGTCTTTCCGGATGACAGTGTAATGGTGTACTACCTGTTTGTGTCTTTCGGATGACTGTAGTCGTGTGTGTACTACCATTTTGTCATGTGTGTACTACCCTGCAGTCGTGTGTGTACTACCCTGCAGTCATGTGTGTACTACCCTGTAGTCATGTGTGTGTACCACCAGGTATTCATGCGTGAACTAACATGTAGTCTTGTGTAAATCAGTATGACAGTGTAACTGGTTGGCACCTTTCCATCTTTCCGGATGACAGTGTAACTGGTTGGCACCTTTCCATCTTTCCGGATGACAGTGTAACTGGTTGGCACCTTTCCATCTTTCCGGATGACAGTGTAACTGGTTGGCACCTTTCCATCTTTCCGGATGACAGTGTAACTGGTTGGCACCTTTCCATCTTTCCAGATGACAGTGTAACTGGTTGGCACCTTTCCATCTTTCTGGATGACAGTGTAACTGGTTGGCACCTTTCCATCTTTCCAGATGACAGTGTAACTGGTTGGCACCTTTATATCTTTCCAGATGACAGTGTAACTGGTTGGCACCTTTATATCTTTCCGGATGACAGTGTAACTGGTTGGCACCTTTCCAGATGACAGTGTAACTGGTTGGCACCTTTCCATCTTTCCGGATGACAGTGTAACTGGTTGGCACCTTTCCATCTTTCCGGATGACAGTGTAACTGGTTGGCACCTTTCCATCTTTCTGGATGACAGTGTAACTGGTTGGCACCTTTCCAGATGACAGTGCTATATAATGCTTTGAGGAGGCTTGGAAATCACAGCGATGGCTGGTGTGACTAGTAAGGCCCGCCCGCTTTAAGAAAAGTCTTCCACAATTAGAGCATGTGATTTAAGCACCATTGTTGTCATCACATGTTGTCAGTGTGTTTCTTCTCAGATGCTCAGCTCTCAACCTTTCTGCAATATTGTTTTCTTCCTTTGTTCCCCTTCCCATCCTGATTTACACCTTCCACGCAACAGGTCCATGGCATTTTGTTGCCACAGGAGTTTAAACTTTTATTAAGCTTGCTAGTAATTAGACTACAATCTTTCACATAGGTTTTTGTGACAAATTGTCACTTTGCCTTCAGTAATCGTGGTACTTCAGTATCTGAGATAGGTTTATGTTTTGTAAAAGTGACATTGTATTTGGAAGTCATTTATTGAACTTTCTGTATTTTTCAGCAAAGCTGGAATAAATGACATGTTCGAGGGCCATCAGGGACCCATTACTGGCGTAGACACCCATAGAGTACCTGGCCAAATGGACTTCTCTCCATACTTTCTGACGTCCTCTTTTGATTGGACGATTAAACTGTGGAGCATGAAGGTATTTACTGAATTTTTTTTTGATGATCTTCTTCAGGCACCTGTGTATAGCAGAATTGACTATAATGACTACAACCCACTCTGTGAAATGTCAAGTCTTTCAGACTGCATTCCCTGGAAGAATAACATTTTGAGAGAAAAAAAGCAATCCTCTCACTAATCTTACAATTTGATGATGCTGGTGTTGTGTATGTTAAAGTAATGTTCTTTTTCATGGTAGTAATTATTGACCTGACGCTGGTGTTGTGTATGTTAAAGTAATGTTCTTCTTCATGGTAGTAATTATTGACCTGACGCTGGTGTTGTGTATGTTAAAGTAATGTTCTTCATGGTAGTAATTATTGACCTGACGCTGGTGTTGTGTATGTTAAAGTAATGTTCTTCATGGTAGTAATTATTGACCTGATGCTGGTGTTGTGTATGTTAAAGTAATGTTCTTCTTCATGGTAGTAGTTACTGACCTGACGCTGGTGTTGTGTATGTTAATGTTCTTCTTCGTGGTAGTAATTATTGACCTGACGCTGTGTGTTGTGTATGTTGTTAAGTAATGTTCTTCTTCATGGTAGTAGTTACTGACCTGACGCTGGTGTTGTGTATGTTAAAGTAATGTTCTTCTTCATGGTAGTAATTATTGACCTGACGCTGGTGTTGTGTATGTTAAAGTAATGTTCTTCATGGTAGTAATTATTGACCTGATGCTGGTGTTGTGTATGTTAAAGTAATGTTCTTCTTCATGGTAGTAGTTACTGACCTGACGCTGGTGTTGTGTATGTTAAAGTAATGTTCTTCTTCATGGTAGTAGTTACTGACCTGACGCTGGTGTTGTGTATGTTAAAGTAATGTTCTTCTTCATGGTAGTAATTATTGACCTGACGCTGGTGTTGTGTATGTTAAAGTAATGTTCTTCTTCATGGTAGTAGTTATTGACCTGATGCTGGTGTTGTGTATGTTAAAGTAATGTTCTTCTTCATGGTAGTAGTTACTGACCTGACGCTGGTGTTGTGTATGTTAAAGCAATGTTCTTCATGGTAGTAATTATTGACCTGATGCTGGTGTTGTGTATGTTAAAGTAATGTTCTTCTTCATGGTAGTAGTTACTGACCTGACGCTGGTGTTGTGTATGTTAAAGTAATGTTCTTCTTCATGGTAGTAATTATTGACCTGACGCTGGTGTTGTGTATGTTAAAGTAATGTTCTTCTTCATGGTAGTAGTTACTGACCTGACGCTGGTGTTGTGTATGTTAAAGTAATGTTCTTCTTCATGGTAGTAGTTATTGACCTGATGCTGGTGTTGTGTATGTTAAAGTAATGTTCTTCTTCATGGTAGTAGTTACTGACCTGACGCTGGTGTTGTGTATGTTAAAGTAATGTTCTTCTTCATGGTAGTAATTATTGACCTGACGCTGGTGTTGTGTATGTTAAAGTAATGTTCTTCTTCATGGTAGTAGTTACTGACCTGACGCTGGTATTGTGTATGTTAAAGTAATGTTCTTCTTCATGGTAGTAATTATTGACCTGACGCTGGTGTTGTGTATGTTAAAGTAATGTTCTTCTTCATGGTAGTAATTATTGACCTGACGCTGGTGTTGTGTATGTTAAAGTAATGTTCTTCTTCATGGTAGTAATTATTGACCTGACGCTGGTGTTGTGTATGTTAAAGTAATGTTCTTCTTCATGGTAGCAATTATTGACCTGACGCTGGTGTTGTGTATGTTAAAGTAATGTTCTTCTTCATGGTAGTAGTTACTGACCTGACGCTGGTGTTGTGTATGTTAAAGTAATGTTCTTCTTCATGGTAGTAATTATTGACCTGACGCTGGTGTTGTGTATGTTAAAGTAATGTTCTTCTTCATGGTAGTAATTATTGACCTGACGCTGGTGTTGTGTATGTTAAAGTAATGTTCTTCTTCATGGTAGTAATTATTGACCTGACGCTGGTGTTGTGTATGTTAAAGTAATGTTCTTCTTCATGGTAGTAGTTACTGACCTGATGCTGGTGTTGTGTATGTTAAAGTAATGTTCTTCTTCATGGTAGTAATTATTGACCTGATGCTGGTGTTGTGTATGTTAAAGTAATGTTCTTCTTCATGGTAGTAGTTACTGACCTGACGCTGGTGTTGTGTATGTTAAAGTTATGTTCTTCTTCATGGTAGTAGTTATTGACCTGATGCTGGTGTTGTGTATGTTAATGTTCTTCTTCATGGTAGTAGTTATTGACCTGATGCTGGTGTTGTGTATGTTAATGTTCTTCTTCATGGTAGTAGTTATTGACCTGATGCTGGTGTTGTGTATGTTAAAGTAATGTTCTTCTTCATGGTAGTAATTATTGACCTGATGCTGGTGTTGTGTATGTTAAAGTAATGTTCTTCTTCATGGTAGTAGTTATTGACCTGATGCTGGTGTTGTGTATGTTAAAGTAATGTTCTTCTTCATGGTAGTAGTTTTTGACCTGATGCTGGTGTTGTGTATGTTAAAGTAATGTTCTTTTTTATTGTAGTAGTTATTGACCTGACGCTGGTGTTGTGTATGTTAAAGTAATGTTCTTCTTCATGGTAGTAATTATTGACCAGCTGCTTGTATGTCCAAAACATGCGCACAAACACAAGCACGCACGCACGCACACACCACACACACACACACTACACAACCACTCAGTCAAATGGATACATACACTCTCATATATACTAGGCCTGTACCGAATAGTGATTTTCACTATTCGGCCGAATACGAATAGCGGGACCAACTATTCGGCCGAATATGAATAGGAATAGTGCATAGTGTATAAAATATATCTATAAAAAAAATTTTTTGAACACATTCATAATGTCAAATGTAGGCTGAAATTTTACTTCACATAAAGTAGCACATAATAGTCATCTTCTTCTTTAGCAATCTGAGCCCTTGAGTTTTACTGCTGCAGATATCACTCGTCTCCATTCATCTCTCCGACTGGCCTTCTCTTCACAATTTGTGACACCAGTTGTTTGCAGGTCTGGCTGGGCATTCTCTCTCGATCTTCTTTTTTGTCTGCCTCGTGGTCTACGTCCATTCCTCTCTCAGGTGTAAACAGTTTTTACTTCTCTGTCATCTGATATTCTTTCAATATTCCCCAACCATTTCAGTCTGTTAGCTCTCATGATGCCAGTAATCAATGGTGATTTAAACAGATTATGTATTACGTGGTTGCTTCTCACTCTCCATTCCCCGCTGTTAGCATCTTTGATGGGTCCAAAGATTTGTTGTAAGACTGTTTTCAAAAACCTGCAATAAGGCATCATCTCTGTTATTTGTGCTTCAAGTTTCAGAGCCATTTAAAATGACTGGTCTTATCAACGTTTTATATATTTTGATCTTGGTGTTGCGAGATACATACTTTGACTTTAGCAGATGTTGAAGGGCATAGCATACTTTATTTTTCTTTATATTGTATTCTAGATTGTATTTCTTCTCTCAGCATGTTGGAACAGTTGAAGTTTGCACCCAAGTACTTATATGTTTCCGTTCGTTTGATTTTCATATTATTGACTTGGATGTGGTCGTAGTTTATATTCTTTCTACGTCTAGTTAGTATTTGTAAACATTTAAAAACATTTCATGTTTTGCATCCTTCAGTCAGTTTGTGGTAACTAATAACTAGGAATGAAAGAATCCTTAGTATTATAACACGTAACTAAACTTGGAAATTGTCACTGGCTGCTTAGTTAATGCAGGAAAGCTGCATTAGCTTTCAACAAAACCAATCATCATTCCATGTTGTCAGCAATAAGGCAGTGTATGCAGAAGCGGGTGTAAGGTAACTACTATTCGTATTCAGCCGAATAGCTAATAATCAATAGGTCCACTATTCGGCCCCGAAGCGAATACGAAGCGAATATTTGGTACAGCCCTAATATATACCCACACATTAACTCTCATACATAGATACCTGCATACCATACCCACACTTTCATACATAAAAATGCATATACACACTCATGTATACACGCAGTCATACATAAACAATCATAGCCTAGCATGCGACACCACAACATCTTGCATGAGAATGGAGGTGGAGGCAGTAACTGCAGCTCTCTGGTGGCTAGAGAACAAAATGTATACACATGTCGTAATTGTAACAGACTCTTAAAGCATGCTGAGAAAGGTGAAGATAGGGATGCTTCGAGCAGACTGGCAAGCTTCACTGAAAGGTCACAGGTAGTGAGCATACTTTGGATCTTTTCTCCAGGCTATGCCGACGTGGTGGTAATGAACAGGCAAACAGACTGGGTAGATTTGAACCACTGGGTGGTGAATTGATAAATGACGAGGCAGATGTGGTCAAGGCCCTTTGGGATCAAGCAATGGAATCAGTAGAGATAGAAGATAACTATGGCCTGGAGAGAATGAGGCATCTGGGTGTAACCAGAGGGTCTGGCCGGCTCACTACACTCAGAAGAAAGGCAAGATGGGCATATAACCAGATATTGACCGGTACCATCACTATTGGAACTCGGCACTGGCTGCCTAAGATGAGGACGGAGCATGCATGGGAATGCCCTGAGTGCTGGGATGTCACTTCTTGACTCAACTCAACTTAGCATAAACAACCATGCACATTTAAACATACACACATATACATAATCTTGCAAACACATATATACTTACTCACACATATACATACAAACACTCATACACACACATACATGCACCCTTTCTCATCCACACACATATCTGAACGCACACTCATGCATACACATACATGCACCAACACATGGAATTTTTAAGAGCTGTATAAATCATATCCTGATATACGGAAGTGAATCATGGACAGTTGGATGATCAGTAAAATTATTAGGAAGCAGCAGATATGTGGTTGTGTAGACGAATAATGAGAAAACCCTGGACAGATAAAAAACGCAATGAAGAGGTCTTGGAAGAAACTGACTCACAAAGAGAACATTGTCCATAGCAGATGGAGACAATCTACATTCTTGAAAATCTACATTCTTGACAATCTACATTCTTGACAATCTACATTCTTTGGTCATGTCACCAGTAGGAGAAAACTGGATTTTTTAAAACCAGATTTGGGTGGGGGGAGGGGGGGGGGGATGATAGACTAAGAGAGAATTTGCTGGCTGGGTAGTTTCAACTCATGGCAAGCATCAGAACTGACTGAAAATACATGAGACAGAAGGTTGTGGATACATAAGAGTACCAATACCACGTGGCTTTGACCATAAGAAAAAGTATTTCTGTTGTTATAAAAATGTCATCGTGTCATTATGCCTGTTTCTTCAGCAACCGTACTACATCCACTCTTTTGAGGACAACAATGACTATGTGTATGATGCCAGGTGGTCGCCAATTCACCCAGCACTGTTTGCCAGTGTGGACGGAGAAGGCCGGCTTGACCTGTGGAATCTGAACAGTGACACTGAGGTCAGAGGTTATTTCCCAGAAAATTGTCTGTTTAGTTTGTGCTTGAGTATTGGTTTTGAACTGAGAAACTGAACCCAGGTCAGAGGTTATTTCCCAGAAAATTGTATGTTTAGTTTGAACTTGAGTATTGGTTTTAAACTGAGAAACTGAACCCAACTGAATTCTACTAGAAGATGTGTGGGAATAACTTAACCAAATTGTGAGTCCGCCAAAACTTTTGTGAGGTGAGTAACTGAACCCAATTGAATACCACCAGAAGGTTTGTGAGGTGAGTAACTGAACCCTGTTAAATACCACCAGAAGGTTTGAGGTGAGTAACTGAACCCTGTTAATACCACCAGAAGGTTTGTGAGGTGAGTAACTGAACCCTGTTAAATACCACCAGAAGGTTTGTGAGGTGAGTAACTGAACCCAATTAAATACCACCAGAAGGTTTATGAGGTGAGTAACTGAACCCAATTAAATACCACCAGAAGGTTTGTGAGGTGAGTAACTGAACCCAATTAAATACCATCAGAAGGTTTGTGAGGTGAGTAACTGAACCCTGTTAAATACCACCAGAAGGTTTGTGAGGGGAGTAACTGAACCCTGTTAAATACCACAAGAAGGTTGGGGGGGTGGGGGGGGGGGGGCACTTGAAAAAGGTTGAAAACTACTGGTCTAGATGCTGGCCTTCTGCCCGGAAGGTTGTCTTGGGTTGTAAGCTTGACTGAGGCCAGTTGATTCATTTATTAACCTCCCCCCTCTCTTCCTCTCACTCTTCTCTCTCACTCACTCTCTCTCTCTCGCACTCTCTCAGTCTTTCTCACTTTTTCTCTGTCTCTCTCTCGAACTCTCTCAGTCTTTCTCACTCTTTCTCTGTTTCACTTGCTATGTCTCACTCTCTTTGTCTCCCTCTATTTGTTTCGCTCTCTGTGTCTCTCCCTCTCTCTGTCTTTTTCACCCTCTCTCTTACTCTCTGTCTCTCTCACTCTTTCTCACCCTCTGTCTGTCTCTTTCACTTTATCTCACCCTCTCTCTATCTCTCTCCCTCCCTGTTTGTCTCTCTCACACTTTCTCTCACACTCTCATACTCTTGTGTGTCTCTCTCTCTCTCACTGTCTCTTTCCCTCTCTTTGTCTCCATCTCTCTCTTTTTCTCGGTGTGTGCGCGTACATGTGTATGTTCACCAGATTGTGAAGTTATGAAAGTTAACTGTTTAAACGAACAATCAGTTTAGTAAGATCTAAGTTGCCATATTCCATGTTTTCCAGTGGTTCGAAATATGCAACATCGAAACAGATATGAACAGCTTAGTCAGAATGCTCTTATACTTTCTTCTACTTCTCCACCCTCCACCCACCTCTCTCTTACGCTTCATTTTTTTTCAGTACTCCTTAATTGCCCCTACTGCCCCTACCCCCCCCCCCCCCCCGACTATTCTAGTGTCCCCCAGGGGCCATTTGTACCCACTTTGGGAAATACTGATTTGGATGAAGCTAAGACACCCAGTAGAGAATAAATAAAGAAAATTAGCTTCAGATTATTGAGACCTAAAATGTCTTTTTTCCCCCTTTAAAATATTGTATTTTCTACGTAGGTTCCAACTGCCTCAGTGACCATTGATGGAAGACAGGCATTGAACCAGTGCAGGTGGCATCAGACCGGTCACCACATCAGTGTCGGAGATAATGCTGGCAGGATTCATGTATATGAAGTTGGCGAGGTATGAACTGACTCGTTACTTTCAGGAATACCATTATTAGTTTTTGACCATTTAAGGAGAACAAGGAGGGTTTTCTCCATGTTTGGTATCACTGACATGTCACTTTGAATTTTATAATATTTATGTGATTCTTTTACCTTTAAGATGCTGTTTCTGCTTAGCGTTCACTGGTTGTAAACTCTTGCGGAAAGTTCTGGTTGTTCTTTCACTTCTGGATTTGAGGCTTGCACGCACAATTGTTTTACTCATGTGGCTTACCTGTATGCTAAATGCTGGTTCTGGTTTTTCAAGCAGACGCACTCCCAGTTTGAAGAAAACACCTCTATTCAGTCACCTTTTATGACATTCTAGTGGTGGTAGTGGTGGGGGAGGGGGGGGGGGGGAAACTTTAAAATGAGGCCCGCGCCAGGACCCACACAAAGTATTATCATTTCAGTATTATTATACTGTTTACATTATTTTTCTTCTTTATCCTCTTCTCCTCCTCTTTTTCTTCTTCTTTTTTCTCTTCCTCCTCCTTCTGTCTCATCTTCGCTTCCTCTCTCTCTCTTTCTCCTCCTTTTTCTCTTATTCAGAATTCCAAGCCCATGGGTTTCACTCTGCACATATCACTTTCCCCTTTAATCTGTCTGGTTGGCCTTATCTTTCCACTTTGTGTTTGTAGGTCTACCTCTATATTATCTCTCCACAATCTTCTTGGTCTGCATCCTGCTCTACTCCCATTCAACTTTTTGTGCCATTTTCTCCATAAACTGCAACCATTACAGTCTGTTAGCCCTGATAAAGCCAGTGATTCTTCTTCTTCTGCCTTTCTAACCCCCAATGGAGCGTAGACCCTCAACAAACTAACACACAGTCGTTCTATCCGCTGCCATTGCATGCAACTCTCCCCATTGTCCTCTCAGTGTTTTTAATTTTTTTGTATTTTGGTCTTTCTTTATTTCTAAGCCTCTGTGGGTTCCAGCTCAAAGACATTTTTGTTAAATTGTTCTCGGATTTCTCAACATGTGTCCTATCCAAAGTCAGCATCTTTTCTCAACCTCTTGGTTCACTGGAACTTGTTTAGTTCTCTCCCAAAGCTCAACATTAATGATTCTATCGTACCATTGAATTCCTTCTATTCTGCGCAGGCACCAGTTAATGAATGTTTTTAGTCTATGAGTAAACTGCTTTTTGGTGATTAAAACATATGGTGAATTTCTTGTATCAACTTAAGAAAAAATACAACTGTCTACAATTAACAGCGCAGAGAGACACTCAGATTAGGGATGTAAATTCTGCCAGTTTGTTCCTCCTGATTCTTCTGCTTGTTTCGGTCATTCAGTCACAGCCATTGCTGCTTGCTTTCACAATAATCATATAACCATTCACACAGCCTTAAACACACTGCAGTTAAACTACATCGCAACCATCTTCCTCAAACTCTAGCAGTTAAACTACATCGCAACCATCTTCCTCGAACTCTAGCAGTTAAACTACATCGCAACCATCTTCCTCAAACTCTAGCAGTTAAACTACATCGCAACCATCTTCCTCAAACTCTAGCAGTTAAACTACATCGCAACCATCTTCCTCAAACTCTAGCAGTTAAACTACATCGCAACCATCTTCCTCAAACTCTAGCAGTTAAACTACATCGCAGCCATCTTCCTCGAACTCTAGTGCGCCACTGACCATGAGCCAAACTCTGGCTTTTCCCCATGATTAGTAAGTAGTAAGCATTATCATCACAGCACTCTGGACAGATCCATAGCTGCTCTGATCTCCTCCTCAGTAGCTCCATAAGTGTAAAACGACTAATGACGCCTGTTCTGTGTTGATTAATGAAATGTCTAGTCATCTTAGATGTTCCTTTCTTGCGGCTGCACTGCCACTGCACTGTCCTTTGGCGTGCTCCTCGGTACAGTAAATGATGCGCATGGCATTGATAACATCGCTTCTGTCCAGTACTGGACCAGTCATAGCAGCCGCAGTGTGGGCAAGATGGATCTGCACGCTCGTTCCCTGAACACACGTGTGACCTGGCACAACGATGAAGGTTAGGGCAGCCATTCGCGAAGTTCTTTTCCTCGTAAATCTCTCCAGCCACCAGTATACCGTGCCTTCGTCTCTTGCACTGGGTTTTTTGCTCGGCTTGCTGTCACCGTGGACACCATGCAAACCACGGTCATAACAACTAATAATAAGAGTTCATGGAAATGAGATGTCTGAGAAGGACTGCAGGAGTGACCAAAAAGGATAAAATCAGGATTGAGGTCAAAAGAGACAAATCAGCACAAAACCAATTCTAAATTACCTGCAAAGACAGCAGATCAAATGGTTTTCCGACTAAACATTTTTTTTTAATGCTATACACTATTAGAAGTACACTAAAGTAGGTGAAGATTGTGATCACGAGGTAGACCAAGGACCTAATAGAAAGATAACATCAGTGAAACTCCACAACAGCATGAAATGTCTGGTCAAGGCAGCCAAAAGAGCCAGAAATAGAACCTTATAATCTCCCTCAACATCTGAATCAGTTAAAGAACAAGTGAACAGACAAACTTTATGTTCAAAGGGTCACAAATTGGGCACCCAGGTACGTCTTACATTCAGCCCTTCCAAACACTCATCTTTCACACAGCAATTGTGTTTTATCAATAAAGCATATTATGTGCAATTAAAAATATACATATTATGAATATCAAAGCAAAACCACAAAAGCATAGGTGATAACAAGCATGTGCACACTGGAGGAAATGGAAGAAGATATTTTACTTAAATGTTGACACTTTGGATATTACACTGTTGTTAATACTTGCAGTATTAGGCAACTCTCAACTCTATCCCCAGCACATTGCCAGTCCCAAGTCAGATGAGTGGTCCAACTTTATGCACTCTCTCCAAGAAATGAAACAACATGCGGCCGAGCGGGAAGAGGACTCATCCCTAGCTGGTTTAGCAACTCCGCTGAGATAATAATGTGTTTGTGTTTGCTGAAAATCCAAAATAACTGTCAGTTATTTGTCAATTTTGTTTCGGTCACGTGGTTATAGTTCTGAAAGTCTATCGATGAATTAATTAACAATGTATTTTCTTTTTCCCCTGTCCTGTGAGTATTGATGTTTCCCTAAGTTTTGGAGATTTAATTTGTTGGGATGAATGATTTTGTTGAGACTGTTGATTCCCATCATGAGTAGAGGAAGATGGAGCACCTGTTCTTATGATTGGAGTGCGGTAAAGTCGGATCTTGGTGGCAGTGAGAATTGTCTAGTCTACAGTTGGTTTATGTTCATTTCTGGTGTACTTAAGATGTAAAAGCCACTGATTTGCTTCCAGTGTTTGATACAGTGATCACTTTGTATTTCACTTGTTTTGCTGACGTTTTCCTCATCAAAAGATTAAGATATATATACTATTTTTTTTTTTTTAAAAAACGTGACATGTTATTCAGGTAACTTCTGAAATCTAAGGGGAGCAAGTATGAAAAGGCATTAAAATAATTAGTTGTTCTTCTTCTGCATTCACTCACCCTCAGTTGTGGTTTATAGGTAGGCTGCAATTTCTGCACCTTTCAACCCAACATTTCAGATTTCAGCAAACTCTTTATTAGTTGCCTCTCATAGCATGTTTGTTGGAAGGCATAAGGTGCCAGTTCTCCAGCCCAGTCTGCTTTCATAGCCAATGCATCTACATGTCCTGTATCCACCTTCATGTCCTGTATCCACCTTCATGTCCTGTATCCACCTTCATGTCCTGTATCCACCTTCATGTCCGGTATCCACCTTCATGTCCTGTATCCACCTTCATGTCCTGTATCCACCTTCATGTCCTGTATCCACCTTCACGTCCTGTATCCACCTTCATGTCCTGTATCCACCTTCATGTCCTGTATCCACCTTCACGGAGAATACTTGAGCTTTCAAAGAAGGATGCTGTTTGTGAGCCAAATCTCCTCATTGATCAGATCATATCTATAGATAGAGGTCTATAGATACATGGCTAGCCCTGATCCTAGCGACAGCATTAATTGTGTTTTTTTTTTAAAGAACAGGATGACAAAACAATAGTGCTGTAATGTTTAATGAGAAAAAAGTTAACTTCAGGTTTGGAAGAACAAGATGACAGAAGATCAAAGCTGTTATGTTTAATGAGAAAACTTAACTTCAGGTTTGTGAAGAAAAGATGAGAATGAATGTTTAGTGAGAAAAGTTAACTTCAGGTGTGGAAGAACAAGATGACAGAAGAATGAAGCTGTTATGTTTAATGAGAAAATCTGAGGTTAGGTTTGTGAAGAACAAGATAACACAAGATGTGAGCATCTGTTGAAACTAACCTTATATATGTGGAATAGTAAGCAATTGGTAAACCTGCAGCAGTGCCTACAGTGTATACTGTAGTATACCCCTTCCCTGACTGTATCAGTGCAATCTGGCATGTGTTTTCTTAAACAATTTTAACACTTTTAAATGTTTAAAAAACATCCCCCCCCCCCCCCTTTCCCCTGCTGGGAGCCGCTGCGGTCTAGTGGCTAAAAGCTCACCTGCGGATCAGAAGCTCGTGGGTTCGATTCCTGACGGGGACCTGACTTTTTTTCTTCAAAAAATGACCTTGGCTTCCAAGTCGACCCAGCCTTGAGTGGGTACCAGGTACAGTCCTGGGAAGTACAGGCAGCCGGTGTGATGGTGACCTCATCACCCACCAAGTGCCGTTTGGTCTACAAAATATAGATCTAGCTCTATGTACCCAATACGCCTAAAAGGCATGGAAAAAGGCCCTGTACTTGTTTACTTCACCAGCCTTCCCCTGTTGTTTCTGGATGTTGCTGTTGTGCCAAGTGTCTAAGCTACTGTAGATAGTTGTTGAGTCTGGATGATATTAGTTTTATGTTTTTTGGTACTACTCACAAAAGGTGCATAGCTTTCTTTTCACAACTGTGTTTTCTGTGAGCGTTTGTTGTTTCTGGGATGTCTTATTGTGAGTAGGTCCCAGACGCTGAAGGCTTCTGTGTGCAAGAA